AATATATACAACTATAATTTGCCAATTTACAACTAAAAAATTAGAGTTAAAAACCTTTGGGGTAAAAAAAGAAAATAGAAGACCTAAGAAAATTAAGACTCCAACCCATAAGGTACATCAGTAGAGATCTAGAGAGAGAGAGAGAAAAAATGAATGGGAAGAAATCAAAGCAAAAAATCAAGAAAAATGCCCAGCATTGACGAAAATCAGTTTCCAAGTAAAGGAGACCAAAGAGTAGGCAAGACATTGGATGAAAACAGACTCCAAAGGTCTGTTCTGGGTGTTTTGAATTTCACAGAAAGACAAGCCTTCAAGCTTTCACCAAGGAAAACGCAGTCACATACAAATATTATGTATCAATAACTAAAAAGAACCAAAAAGGATTAAGACTTCAGCACTGGAAGCTGGAAGGCAGAGGAGCAAAACAATGCCCAGACTTTCACTCGGGTGTAAGGGCAGAATAAAGCACTTGCAGATATCCAGGTTCTCAAAACTTTATCTCCCATCACTTTTTCTCAGGCAACTAGTAGTGAAGGATGTGCGCCATCACAATAATAGTAGACCCATAAAGAGGACGTGGGTTCCAGAAAACCGAGGGTCCCACACTAGAGGGACTGATGAGATGTGCAGGAAGACTGCTGGCAGTCAAGGCTGCAGCAGGTCGAACACTTTGGAAGAGATTTACTCAAGATGAAATGAACAGAGTGCCAAATTTCATCCGATAGAAAGGCCAGAATTTCTTGACAAGAGATTTAGACAACTGGTACAGAATTGGGGGTTGAATTTTAGCGATAAATATATAGAAAACCAGGCAAACAGCAAGGAAATAAAAACAAGGCACGTATTAACATCAGAGAAAACAAAAAGTTATCTATGAAAGGAAAAGTAATCCTAGTACCCCACTCAGCTTAGCTGTGAGTGGCACTATGTAGTCATACTATAAACACTGAACTAACCAAATTATGGATATTCCTATTTTGAGCAGCCACAGGTATGTGCAGAGAAGGCAGAGGGTGAAGGAAAGCTAGAACCTTCATATTGACTCTCAGTGTCCAGTGAAGAGAATACATGAAACAGGGTGAAGCAAGCCATGCCAACGGGCCCTTCAGGGCTGGAAGTGAAGACCAAGGGACTCAACTGAGGCTAAAGCCAACCCTCCCCAGGGAAGCCACACAGTCAGGGAAAGGACACCAGCACTTTTTCCTTATAAGCGTTTCTAGAATTAGACCCTTTAAATTACATGAAGTCCTAACCTTGATTTGAAACAAAATTAATTTCAATTTTAAAATCCATATGAATGCCAATAAAAAGCAGTCAGGGAGAATGTGCATGGTCAGTGCATTGTTACCAAGTTAACAGCAAGCATAACGGGATGACGAACACAAGGACATGATGCCCAGACATGTCTCAGAACACAAGTCTAGTTCACCTTTTAAAGGTATTCGAGGAACTTCAGCATGCCTGGTAAAACTACAGCCTACCAGGAATTTCACTTGTAAAATTTCTCTGATTCTAGAAATACAAAAATTTTAAAAATTAAAAAAGACAAAAAAAACCTTGCTTTAACACAAAATGATGTGATCAATTTTTAAAACGTTACACACATGACAAAAGTTTCTTTTCATTATTTTCTTGGTTTCAAAATGTTGGCCGGGCGTGGTGGCTCTCGCCTGTAATCCTAGCACTCTGGGACGCCAGGGTGGGAGGATTGCTCAAGGTTAGGAGTTCGAAACCAGCCTGAGCAAGAGTGAGACCCCCGTCTCTACTAAAAATAGAAAGAAATTAATGGGCTAAAAAATACAAAAATAAAAATGTTGAATGTTGTAGTTCTTACAATTTAAGGGAAAAAGCACTCTGATACATATACTGGTTGGGGTTCTCTGGCTGCTTTTCTACTTGGTCAAAAGCCTTTAGATGCATCTTTGACTTTGTGCCACCATAACTTGGCAACTGAAAGCTCAGCTGTGTGCTATCCTTCCTCCAGAACTTGGTTACTGCGTAACAGAAAAGGGAAAAGTTTTCCTATGACCACTTGCCCATGGGATGGATGCACAGTGAAGGGGCCAGGCCAAAGAGAAACACCACTTGTTACTCCAAAAAGCATGTTCTCCACTCAAGCCCTTTTCGGTAAATAATTTTCAGTTGGGAAGCACTAATGGAGAATCTATCTGACCCGTGAAACATCACAAGTCATCCCAGTGGACACAGTGTAATCACCTAAAATCCTATCCGAGTCAGAGTAGAGTATCTTAGGACCGACTGAAGAGCATGAGGCCTTTCACAGCACGGCCTCAGCAAAGCCCTCTAACATTCCCAATGTCAGCAATACACCAAATTCTCAACTGCTGCCCACACATGCCACCAAATATAAGTGTCATTCCTCATCTTTCCTAGTCTTCCTGTCTAGAACACCCTGTCCTGCCAACTCCACCTGGAAAAATTCTTATTCACCTCTAAACCCCAGTTCCAGTACATGTTTTTTTTCTTTTTTTTGAGACAGAGTCGTGCTCTGTCACTTGGGCTAGAGTGCCATGGCCTCAGCAACCTTAAACTCCTGGGCTTAAGCAATCCTCCTGCCTCAGCCTCCCGAGTAGCGGGACTACAGGCACACACCACCACATCCGGCTAATTTTTTCTATTTTTAGTAGAGACAGAGTCTCACTATTGCTCAGGCTGGTCTCGAACTCCTGAGCTCAAGCGATCCTCCCAGAGTGCTGGGATTACAGGCGTGAGCCATTGTGCCAGCCAAGGACCCATTCTTTACAAAGACTTTCCAACTAATACTCCCTGCCTCCCATTTCTTATTCCCACACCTTGTACATATTTCTGTTACTGCACTTACCATACTGCAGTGTAATTCACTCTTTCACAAGTGCTTCGCCCACACTACACCACAGCTGCTTTACCTTTGCACCCACAGAACCCTTAACAGCAGCTGGTACACAACTTCCAGTAAATAAGTTTTGAATTGAATTGCTGTAGAAGTGCACCTGAAAGTAAGACAGTTGGAAGACCAAGACAAGAAAGCCAAAGGAAAAATACTTAATGATTCAAGAAGAAATTCTCCCATAAGTCCTCTGAGAAGTCAGCTTTCTCCCACCTGGAGAGGGCACTGGCCCAGGCAGCCACCTCAGCAAGGAGGCATGGAGAGACAACTGCATCCTACAGGTGCTCTCCTTACATCCCTGCACTTTTACCTGAGTGACATTAATTTGACTCAAGGAGAGATGAGGTAAACCCTTAAACAGTGCTTAGCACATAGCAGAACTAACAGTAGTAACAGGAAAGTTTAATCCTCACTGTAAATTATTTAACTGGCTTTCAAATGCTGTCCCTGAGACTAGAGGAAGTATGCTCCATTTTCTCCAAGCCTAAAACTCTCAGGTTGATTGATGGGTGATGTTTCAGACACAGAGATATGGGAATTCAAATAATGGAAGCAATTCTTTTTTTTGAGACAGAGTCTCACTTTGTTACCCAGGCTAGAGTGAGTGCCATGGCGTCAGCTTAGCTCACAGCAACCTCAAACTCCTGGGCCCAAGGGATAGTACTGCCTCAGCCTCCCAAGTAGCTGGGACTACAGGCATGCGCCACCATGCCCGGCTAATTTTTTCTATATATTTTTAGTTAGCCAATTAGTTTCTTTCAAATTTAGTAGAGTCGGGGGTCTCGCTCTTGCTCAGGCTGTTTTCGAACTCCTGACCTTGACCGATCCGCTTGCCTCAAACTGCAAGCTCCCAGTGCTAGGATTACAGGCATGAGCCACCACGCCTGGGCCCATTCTTAACCAAATACCTTTTCAACTACTTCAAAACACTGCTTCCAAGTATCTTAATATCAAATGCACTGAGTGGATGCAGCCTGCATGCACTCACAGCATTCAAAATGATCAAAATATAAACCAAGGCACTAGGTTTCATCCAATGTTTCAGTATCCGAGGTTTGCTTCCATAAATGAACATTAAGCTTATCCTGTAGTGAAGCACTACCAGCAGCCTCATAAAAAATATCTTGTGATTTACCCAATCTTAATAAGGTTTTCACAAGGTTACCTGCTAAGAAAGTGGCTGATTATCCCTAAGCAGACACCAGAAAAATGTGAAGTCACTGCCTGATGGCTTGGGGTAGCTATGAATATAAAACTCAAAACTGAAGGGCGGATTTTCGTTGTTACTAAACATTACGACTCATCCCATCCCTCCAGACGTTTCATTTGACCATGAACACTGTTTAATAACCGAAACTCAAGTTGATTTCTCCTTTGGTTTTACATGGTATCCAAACACCATATGAAGTCTGACCCCCTCATTTTCTAAGTTCAATGGGGGAGTATACACAGCAGCGAGCCCGGAGCACTCAACCGCTGTGCTAGGGAACTACCCACGAAGACACTGTCACAACATGTCATGGTGTCAGACAGGTCAGGTTCCCAACACCATGCTGGTGCACCCCTTTGGGACTCAAAAAGTGTTTCCTTTCAGCCGGGGTAATCTTGGAAGGCTTCCTGTACGAGGGGTATTTGCGCCGGGCCTGGACCTGAGTCTCGGACAGGTTCTGGGCGTCCAGGCCACGCGGGAGAGATAAAGGGGAGCCCCAGGCCGAGGGCACACACCGCGGGCCGGAGCCCCGCGCACCGTACCGGGCAGGCCGCAGCCGGGCGCAGCCCCCTCCCGTCCCCGAGCCACGTCGCTGCGAGCTGGCCCGCGGAGCGCTCCCCAGGTCTCACCTCGGGACCCGCACCCGGAGGAAGCTAGGGGCCGCGCCGGCTCCGCCCTCCCCCGCGGGGCGGCGGGCCCCAGCTCGCGCGCAGGAAGGCCACGTCCCCGGGCGGGACGCCCAACTCGATGGTCTGCGCGGGGGCCCGAGCCCCACGTGACCCGCGCGCAGCCAATCCCAGGGAGGCTCCGTACCATCGAGACGACGGCAGCCAGAGGGTAGACCAGCTCCGCGCGACGACTGGCCGCCCCCCGCCCGGCCCCGCTCCGGGGCCCCCAGCTCGGTGCTGCCGCCATCTTCCTGGAGGAGAGGAGCGGAGGCTAAGGCTTCCCTCCCTGGGATCGCTCCGCACTCATGCCACCGCCTGCCCTCCCCCGACCGCCTCTTCTCCTCAGTGCTCACCTAGCTCCTTCTAAAGAAGCGCCCTCCCCCCCACTCTAGTTACCCACCACAAGGCGGAGATTCTCATTACCTGTTCCACTCTTATTAGCGTAAGAAAACCAGGCTCATAAGGTAGGAACTGTGGCGAAACAGGGACAAGCCGCCATCTTGGTAAAGGAGAAGAGGCTACGCTTGACCTCCCCCCCACCCCCAGCCTCTATATGGCCAACCGCCGTGGGAGGGGCACGGCGCCTGCGCAGAGGCGGACAACGAGGCCGAGTCTGGGCCTGCGCACTCGGAGGCCGGCCGCATGGGGGAGGGGAGAAAGGCCGGGGCGCCCTGGGCCAGGAAGGAGTTGGCAAAGGGGTGGAGCAGTTCGATGACGCGATCCGTCTGCGCGCGGGGCGGGGCGCGAGGCGACCGCGGGCGCTGGGCGGGTCCGCGGCAGGGTCAGTCGGCGCCAGTTCTCCGGCTGCTCGGCGGGTGAGTGTCTCCCCAGTGGTTCTGGACGGCTGTTCCCGCCGCCGCGTAGGCGCGAGCTGTGGGCTGACTGTCCCGAGGAGGTGCGGGACGCGACGCCCAGTTTCCCCGTCCCCTCGGGCGGTGGTCGGCCAGCTCCAGGGGGCGCGCGGGTGGGGCGTGGTGGGGGAGGGGTGGCCAGGCCCGGGCTCCGCGGCCCCCGCCCCGGGCTCCCCCCACGGCGGACGCTTCCCGGGGAGCGGGCGGGGCCGGGCGCGGACGCCGGGTCGGGGGTCCGGTGACCCCGTGCTGACCCCGTGGGAACCGCACCTCACAGCCTGAGCACCGGAGTGGGGGCGTAGAGTGCCGTCGAGGTCGGGAAAGTCTGGGCGGGCGTGGAGGGATGATGCGGGTTCGGGTCCGTCGCGCTCTGGTGGGTGTGTGGCCATCTTGTCTGTGTAACGGTGGCATTTCGTCCCCGGGGTGTGGAGGACGCGCCGCCTCCCCCGCCCGCCCGAGGTCCTGCGCTGGCCGCAGAGCGATAAGGGGGCAGAGCGAGGAGGCGCTGTCTGTGCAGGGAGCCTCCTGCAGGAGAGGCGACAAAGGGCTGCACCAGCAGGGAGAAAGGCGGAAAGCCCGGGGTAGGGGACAGTGGGAAGGCCTCTGACCAGGGCTGCGGAAGAGAAGCAAACCTGTGGCCACTGTGGTCTCAGTAAAGTCCTAACTCTGGGGTAGCCCACAGGCCCAGACAGCCACTTTTTTTTTTAAACTTTTATCTTTCTGGCGTCATTTCTTGTCAACACCACCCTAACCCTGTCTGTCCACACACACACACACACACAAACATGACCCAACCACGCTGAGCTTCTTTTAGCTCAAACTGCTGTGGTCTTTTAAAAACCTTTGGCCTTCACAGAAACTTTCCTTCTGTCGGAAACGTAGTTATTATTACCCCACCGTCTCTGCCTTCTGCTTGTCTAGTCCCTGCTCTCTGCTTGGGGATTCAGCCGTGATTAGATTTGCTCCAGGCTGGTTTTGGTGTTCCCCTAATGTTCTAGATAGCAGTTGTCCACTAAACCACTAGTCCTGTGAAGGGCAGGGCATGTGCTAATCATGTCACCCTTACCCATTACCTAGGTTGGTGACCAGCACATGGTAGGCTCTCAAGTTTTTTTTGGCCAGATGTGGTGGCTCACCTGTAATCCCAGCACTTTGAGAGGCCCAAGCAGAAGGATTGCTTGAGGCCAGGCATTGAAGACCAGCCTGGGTAACATAGCAGGACCCGTCTCCACAAAAAATAGAAAAATGAGTTGGGCGTGGTGGCACCTGTAGTCCTAGCTACTTGGGATGCCGAAGCAGGAGAATCACTTGAGCACAGGAGTTCAAGTGATGATCCATAGTGGAGCCATTGCACTCCAACCTGGGGGACAGGGAGACACTGTATCAAAAAAAAAAAGTATTTCTTGAAAGACTCAAATCATTATAATACCTCCAGATACGTTTAAGGTTCCAAAGTAGCCTTGCCATCATAAGGAAAAATATGGTGGTGTAGGGGTTATGAAAGCTGTTTCCCGATGCTTCTAACTTGAGATTCGTTGTTTTCACTGGCTATCTTTGGTAGCTCTCTTTAGAGATTCTTTGCACCACTCAGCAGCCTAACTCAAAATGTGTATCATTACATGTAATCTTGACATTGATCTCCTTCTTGTCTGTAAAAGTAGTCCTGATTTCTTTTCCATTGTCCACCTTGATCTCTCACCAGTGCCACAGCCTACAGTAAAGAACAAGAGCTTTTTAATCAGATCGCATTTTACATTCTGACTGGCTATTGAACTGGCAGGGTAACTTAGGGAAAAGGGGGTGTGGCTTTCCTCTGTCATCATTCATAAATGTGATTCAGGTCCCTTTTTATTCCCAGTTCCAAAATAGAGAAACTGCTGTAAAAGAAAAAGTTGTGGGCCAGGCTCGATGGCTCACGCCTATAATCCTAGCACTCTGGGAGAGGCCTAGGCAGGCTGATTGCTAGAGATCAGGAGTTCGAAACCAGCCTGAGCAAGAGCGAGACCCCGTCTCTACTATAAATAGAAAGAAATTAGTTAGCCAACTAATATATATAGAAAAAATTAGCCAGGCATGGTGGCGCATGCCTGTAGTCCCAACTACCCTGGAGGCTGAGGCAGAAGGATTGCTTGAGCCCAGGAGTTTGAGGTTGCTGTGAGCTAGGCTGATGCCACGGCACTCACTCTAGCCTGGACAACACAGCAAGACTCTGTCTCAGAAAAAAGAAAAAGTTATGAGTTTTTTTCTGGTGGAAAGGAGACACCAAAACTCATTTGGCAGCAGAATCAAGGTGAGGCCATGTATATAGTCTGTATTTATCCCACTTTTGTGCTAATGGTCATGCATGTTACTGTAGAAAGTTCATTTGATTGTGGGGGTACTATCCGAGACCCTGTTGAAAGTGTTATGTGGTATAGTGTTCATGTACCTTCCTCACATCCAAAGAATCTGAATGCCAAAACCTTCTAAAAACTTCGGATAAGAGATTATGGACCTTCAGGGACTTACTTTCCAGGGTCATTTTGTGGATTTGGGATAACGTATATATAAATTTAAGAATAATATATGCTAACAAGTGATAATTCCTGTTTATAAGTATTCCGCTAATACAAATGCCAATAACAAAATATGTTACCAAGAATTGAGTTTTATCCATCTGTTCTTCATCTCTCATCTTTTGTTTTGGGAAAATTGGTGAATTGGGATGGGAATATTGCTCTGTGGAAAAAGGAAGCTGTGAATCAAGAATAAAGAACTTTCAAACAACTTACTTCTGGCATCTGGAATAAGCCTAATCTGAAGGAATAAAATTTTCATTTGACCATATTTTGGAGATTTGGGGGATCTAATTGTGCACCCGAGGTTTAAATTAATCACAGTGCTTACTAGTCTGTTGCTGCACAGGGCATTCTCACTGAAAACCAGTGGTTCAATCATTTTGTATTAGTTAATAGCAAGAGAAAATCCAAATGTGGATCTAAATTATGTTTCAGAGAAAAACTGAATATGGCAAGTACTCACTAGATAGCAAGAGAAACTTGGTAAAATTAAAGCAAAGTTGAAATGTCAATTTAAGACAAATGATTTCTTCATTTTCCTATACTTGTGCATCAAAATAAAGTCTTGAGTGGGAAGGAACTGATAGGGAAGAGTGAAAGTCACTTTTCTTTCCAGTGGAGTACCCTCAGCTGAACCAAACAGAGGAAAGGGACTGTGGGCAGGCACAAAGTATAGCACTTTCAGGGTGCTCATGTGCAGGTGGTCAGAGCAGACACAGGGTCCTTTTAGTGGTCGGAGCGGCCCGAGGCTCAGTGGGGCTGAGAGGTTCTGTGGCAGTGCAGGAGCAGTGCTCCATGATATTTCTGTGTCACACTGTATTGATTTGGCATCAGACACGTGTAGTAGCTGGTAAGGCAACTGCCCACTCCTTTCCATCAGGCATTTATCCTTCTGTGTGAACTTGCATGTCATTTTATCCAATACTTTAAGGAAAAAAGCCACACCATTAGGGATTTCAGCTAGAATTGGACCAAATTACGGACTAATTTGGAGAAAATAATAATGATTTGATTGATGTAGGACCTGCTTTCTCTCTCCTAAATTTCTTCCTACATGATTGGAGGGTTTTTTTTTGTTTTGTTTTGTTTTTTAACTATGGTGAATGGCATTTCACCCTCACTTCCATTCCTTGGTAGTCATTGCTAGTACAGAAAGAAATGTTTGACTTATTTGATATCTATCTTATATTCAGTCACCTTACTAAATTATCTTATTCTAGAATTCTTTAACCAAAGTGTTTGTTTTCTGTGTATTCCTACCAGCAGAAAAGTTTTGGTTTGTCTTGTTTTCATTTACTTGTTTCAATGTGTTCACTAAACTCGCCAAGGTAACAAAATAATCATGGTGAAATTTTAATATCTAGGTCTTATTTAGATCCTGATTCAGTTGAAAAAAATGAGAAAGTTGAAAAATGTGAATACTGATTGGATATTCGATTACATTAAAGGATTAGGTACAGATAATGATTTGTCTTATTTAGGAGCCCTTATTTTTAAACATGCATACGGATGTATAAATGAAATGTTACACCTGGTATGTGCTTCATAGTAATCCAGGGGCAGTGTTGGAGAATGTGGGGATAGATGAAATAGTATTGGCCTTGAATTGCTGGATAGTGGATGTTTCATGGGGGTTTTGTAGTTTTGCTTTTGTATATGTTTGAAATTTCTCATGTAAGTGTTTTAAAATAATTATGGTAATGGATATTCTGCCTAATTATTGATTGTAATTTAAATAGATGTAGCATTCCATTGTTTAAAGAAAGGAATTTGCCATTGGTTTTCAGAAATTTCCTGAAATTATGTTTAAGCAGTTTCCTCATTTAGTGTTTTCATCAGGGTTAGTTGCCAGATTGTACAGTACGCCTCATCAGCGTCTGCACAAGTGGCCTTTTCCCTTTCATTTGTTGTTGAAATGGCTGATATTGATATATGCTTTTGATACATTTGTGGAATCTAATTGCTAGCAAATATTAAGATTTTTTGTGTTTATATTTATGAGTGAGATTGAACTATGGTATTCATTAGTTCTTTTTACGTCTCCATTTGGGTTTTTTATTAAAATTGCTATCATGACAAAATAAATTGGAATGTTCCCCTTTAGGCTTGGAAGAGGTAAATGACACTGGCATTTTCTGTTCAGGATTAGATGGGATTCATCTCTAATTCCATCAGGTCTTGGTCCTTTTTGTTGATGTGTCTTTAATCAATTGCTTAGTGGTATTGTTCCAGGAAGGTTTTCCAGTTTGGGGGATTTAAAAAAAATTGTTTACAGAGGGGGGTCTCACTCTGTTGCCCAGGCTGGAGTGCAGTGGTGTGATCATAGCTCACTGCAGCTGAAATCCTGGCTCAAGCAATCCGTGCCCGGCCTCACGTTATTTTTTATCTTTTTCCCTCCTAGTTTAAACAGATTGTGATTCGAAAACATTGACACAAAATGTCTCTTTGAAAATTTGTTTAGACTTTTTTGTAGATATATGACTTTTAAAAATGTTTTTTTAATTTCTTCTCTTTATTGATTCACGGTTCTCTGTTAAATTTATTGGCTGTAATACTCAATTCTTCTCTGCCCTTGCGCATATTATGTTTATGCAGTCCAATTCTAAGAGAAATATTTAAAGTTTCCCACTTGAATTGTATTTTTCTTAAGTTAAGCTTGTATTTTTCCTGAGTATTTACCTGCAATAATTATTTAAATATACAGGCTTATGAATGTTATATCTTCCTTATAAGTTGTTCCTTTTACCATCTTCATTTAATGTGCCTGTTCTTCTGATTAGTTATTTTTACTTTAAGTCCTGCCTTGGATTTAATAATGTGTCTCCTACTCTGTTTGCACAAGGTAGTATTTTCATTCTGTCCCTTTTTTTTTTTTTGAGACAGAGTCTCGCTTTGTTGCCTAGGCTAGAGTGAGTGCCATGGCGTCAGCCTAGCTCACAGCAACCTCAAACTCCTGGGCTCAAGCAATCCTGCTGCCTCAGCCTCCCAAGTAGCTGGGACTACAGGCATGCGCCACCATGCCCGGCTAATTTTTTCTATATATATTAGTTGGCCAATTAATTTCTTTCTATTTATAGTAGAGACGGGGTCTCATTCTGCTCAGGCTGGTTTGAACCCTGACTCGAGCAATTCGCCGCGCCTCCAGCCTCCAGAGCACTAGGATTACAGGCGTGAGCCACCACGCCCGGCCTCTGTCCCTTTTTTTGAGACTTTCTTTGTTACTTTGTTTTAAGCATGTTCTTCTACATAGCTAAGAGCGGGGCTGGGTTTTTGGTTGTTTTGTTGTTAGCCTAATCTATCTCTTTTTTTTTCTTTCTTTCTTAGAGACAGGGTCTCGCTCTATTGCCCAGGCTGGGGTCAGTGGTGTGATCATAGCTCACCAAAACCTCTAACTCTGGGGTCAAGTGATCCTCCTCCCTCGGCCTCCCAAGTAGCTGGGACTACAGGTGTGTGCCACAGTGCCCAGCTAAGTTTTAAATTCTCTGTAGAGACAAAGTCTCATTGTGTTGCTCAGACTGTTCTCTAACTCCTGGGCTCCAGGGATTCTCCCTCCTCAGCCTCCCAACATGTTGGGATTACAGGCGTGAGCCAACGAGCTAGGCCCTGTCTCCTCTTTTAAGAGGAGAATTTGTTTCTTTCACATTTATACTGATGACTGATATACTTAAATTTTATCCCTTGTGCCTTGATTTTAGGGTTACTATTGATTTTGTTTCCTGTTTTTCCTTTTCCATATTTTTGCTGGTTTGATCAACTTGCTGTTCCATGTTTTTTTCCTAATTTGGAAGTTCGACTGTAATTTTTCTTTAATGATTACCTTTCATAATCAGATACTTATCTCTTTATTTGAAGACAAGATGCCAACTCATTCTCCTGCCAAAACTGTCTATACTCTATCCTACCCTTTCCCTTAAGGTGGTTTTAATTCTGTTCTTTCACCCTTGCCCCCAACTTTTAGGTTTTGCTGAGGTAGTTTAATATTTTTAATTCTAGACTATAACAGGGATTTTCCTGGGGTGTTCTTTCTAGTCAAGTGACCTTAATTTACTACTGTCTTACACACAGTCCCAGAGAGTTAGTTAATGTATAGACGCTGGTCTTTGGTTTTCTCAGGAACATTTTTTTCTTCATTATTTCTTTATTTTCCTCTATATATCCCTTTTTCTCCTGTGGGAACTCTTATTGTTAACGAGGTAGGTAAGGCCAGTAAAAGGAGAACCAGGACAATGACCTAAATGTTCTATGCGATTCCATACTGCAGAGTTAAAGGCTCATGAATCCCATTGCTGTCTTACCTTCCTAAATCAAGGCAGGGATTGGAAGGCCCTCACATTGGGAGTGGGGGGACCTCATTTCTTTCAAGGTAGTTGGAAACATTTCCATTCAAATGAACGGTGTACAGTATTCACAATGTTAAGGTTTGGAGAGAAAAATAGGGAGACAAGATAGTGTATGAAGGTTTCTGATAAGTTTCTAACCTCCAGAGGGAATAAAGTTTGACTATAGTCGTCTCTCTTGATGTTGTTACTGAAAGTTGGCCAATCGACTCCATGTTTCCCAAAGCTTCAGGGTTTATAAAATTTGTATAAAAATCCTGCATATCTCTAAAACCATTGTCACACTTCTGAAATGCTCAGATGCCTTCGGTCCTTTATCCTTTATTTATAAATGTAGTTCACATTGCTCCCTGTGGCCCACAGTCAAAATCTAGTTCTCATGTAGCTCTGGGAATCTCCAACAGATGGTAAACGTGTTCAGGTTATGGCATCCGAGGTAAGGGCATCCCTTCCTCATTGAAACGTTTAAGAGAGAGAAGGGAAATTACCGTAATTCCAGAGGTGAGGGGAGTTTGTCTTTTTCATCCATTGTGTCCCTAGTGCCTGGCATGTACTGAGTACTGAAAAAGTTTGAATATTGGTTAAAATATGGAATGTTCACATATATGTATATGTGTACATATGTGTACCGGTTGCTTTCATCAACTTCTAATTTTTAAAATCTGATGTATCTTTATAATGAGAGAGAATTGTTTCATCATTCATGGGGAATTATTTGAGGTAATCCAGAAGCCAAGTGAAACAGAAGCCATTGATTCCTATGTGTCAGTCTTTTTACAGCTCAAGTCATACAGTTAAATATGTGTGTGTGGTTTTTTTCTTAACAGATAAACGAAACTTCACAAAAGATGTCTAAGGTAAGATCACACTTCAATTTATAGTATAAAGAGAAAGTGCTTTATGTTTTTAGACCTTTTATAGTCAAGATTTATATGATTCATTGTTTTCTTTTTTCTGTTTTTGTTTGTTTGGTTGGTTTTTTAGACAAAGTGTCACTCTGTTGCCCAGGCTAGAGTGCCATGGCATCAGCCTAGCTCATAGCAACCTCAAACTCCTGGGCTCAAGCAATCCTGCTGCCTCAGCCTCCCGAGTAGCTGAGACTACAGGCATGCGCCACCATGCCCGGCTAATTTTTTTCTATATATTTTTAGTTGGCCAATTAATTTCTTTCTATTTTTTTAGTAGAGACAGGGTCTCACTCTTGCTCAGGCTGGTTTCTAACACCTGACCTTGAGCGATCCTCCCAGCTCAGCCTCCCAGAGTGCTAGAATTACAGGTGTGAGCCACCACACCCAGCCAATTCATTATTTTTGATACAACTAATATATTTGATTCATTAAGATGAAGAGGTCTAATTGTCATCCTAAAAGCTTTGAGCTTTCTGTTTTTTCAGGCTTCTATTCTCTTTTTTCTAAATACATCAATTACAGTCCATTTATCCTCCTTAGATCATTCCCATCAGACCAAATAATAATTTAAAATTCTAATAATTTATTAGGATGGAATTGATGGGGCTCTCAGATTTGATAGATTGGTTTGGAACAGCCCTTGCAAGTTAGCCCAGAGCCCTGAGATAAATTCGTCTAAAAGACATACACTGAGAAAAGTGGAGCTTATGGTTAAAATTACAAGATTATTATTTCTATTTGCCTTTCATTTTTGAGTCTGTGGGTGTTCTTTACCACCCCATGTAATCATATTGATTTTTGCTTTATATATAACTACTAGTGTGGAACACAGATAAGCAATAAAGGAGATAAAAATTAGCCATTATTCTCCCAGCCAGAAATAGCCATTGTTAACATTTCATGTAAATCCTTTTTATACCTGTACTGTCAGTTTTCTGACAGAATTAAGACTTTTTGTACCTGTTGATTTATCTGTATGTATATATTTTTAATTTGTGAGAGTGGCTGATACTTTTTGTCACATGTTTAACTGATATGTCTTAAAAGCAACTATGGTCTTAAAAGCTGATATGTCTGATATGTCTTAAAAGACTTAAAAACTGATATGTCTTAAAATCAGACTTAAAAACTGATATGTCTTAAAAGCAACTAAGTCTTTTTTTTATTTTAATCCTGTTTTAGCAACAACCAACTCAGTTTATAAATCCAGAAACTCCTGGCTATGTTGGATTTGCAAATCTTCCCAATCAAGTACACCGAAAATCAGTGAAAAAAGGTTTTGAGTTCACACTGATGGTGGTCGGTAAGAAATTAATTTATATTCTCAAACTTATTAAACAGATATCTCCTTTTCCCAACCTATGGAGTATAATAGCATGACCTATAAAGTAAGAGGAAAATTTCTTTGTTGGCAGAATCAAATATTCTGGGAATTTAAAAATATATATATTTTTTAGAAAATTTTACTCAGAAGTAAAATTATAATTTTTCTATTACTTCCTTATTTATGCGTATGAAAAGGTTTTACTGTTTTTGTGGCTGCTGGCCTCCAGTGACCCTTGCCTCCTGGTATTCACAACCTTCCTAGACCCTCCCACATTGGATAGAGTTTACCTCTGTAACCAGCAGGGCTTGTGGAGATGAAGATGTGAGACTTCCTGAGACTAGGTCATAAAAAACATTGTGGCTCCCACCTTGCCTTCTCTTGAATTAGTCACTCTGGGGGAAACCAGCTGCCATGTTGAGAGGACACTCAAACAGCCTTATAAGAAAGTCCCCCTTGCCAATAACTGAAGCCTGCCAATGGTATGTAAATAACCCATTTCAGGGACATCTTCCAGCCCCCATTAAGCCTTCTGAGGAATAACTGGCATTCAAGCTGACACACTGACTACAACCTTATGACAGACCCCAAGCCAGAACCACGCAATTTTAGACATTCCCAAATTCCTCACCCAAAACGTCTGCAAGATAATGTTTATGGATGTTATAGGCCTCTAAGTTTTGTAGTAATTGTTACATATTAGCAGACAACTAATACAATCATATTTAATTAGAATTATGTTTGTTTAATTACCATTTAAAAAATTAATAACTCCTAAAATTTCAGTGGTGGACTTCCCAGCCTCTAGAACTATATGAAATAAATTTATTTTCCTTTTTAATTACCTAATCTGTGATATTCTGTTGTAGCAACACAAAACAGACTAAGAGAAGCCCTCCTAACATGAATAACTAGAAGATTGGACAAAATATATGAAACAGCTCCTTTAACATACTGGACCACAGGCAATGCAGGATTTTGATCCTTAAGTGAAAGAAAGCAAATTATATGACTATAAAGTCACTCTGGCTTTCTGCCATTTACCTGCCCTGCCATGGGGAAAGTAAATCAGGAGCACAGCGGTCTCACAGGGCTGAGGTGACAGATCACAGTTCAGGGACACTGACATGACTGGGACCTGTGATATTGGGGCAGAGTTCCATAAAAGATAAAGAACTCCAGAAATATGCACTAGCGATCCTATTGAAACCTTGGCTGAACAAACAGTATATGAGTGGGGGTAAGATTCCATGAAGCTGGATCATATATAACCAGGAGACTGTAAACCGAACTGGAGACTGCTCAGGATCAGAGAGCTCATGTGGCAGGGAAATGTTTGTGTTTCAGTCATCCAAACGAGAAATTTTACTAAATGCGCAGGCTATTTAGTAGAAATTCCAGAAAATTTTGGCCTGGGAGTAGGCTCAGCTAGACATAAAGGCTGTTCTAAAGCCTCCCAGACAATGCTCATAAATAAGCCTCGAAAGGATCAAGTTCATTGGCAAATAGTTAACTACTTGCTAGGGCAGAGTGATAACATTAAACTCAGACATCAAAATCCAAGCATTTACAGTGTAACATTTATAATATCTAACATGTAATAAATTCTGTGGTGTCAAAGAAGCAAAAAAAATGTACATAATCAGGAGAAATATCAGATAATAGAAACAGATCCAGAGATGATAGAATTGGCAAACAAGAACTCTTACTATTTTAAATGTGCTCCTGTATTTAAAGGAAAACATGAATGTAATGAGATAAATGGAAAATACAAAAAAAAAAAAATCAAGTTGAACTTCTAAAGATTAAAATACAACATCTGAAATGAAAAATTTTCAGGATAGGCCTAACGGCAGATTACACAGTACAGAGAAAAAGGGCAAACGAAGGTATCTAAACTAAAGTACAAAAGCCAGGCGCAGTGGCTCATGCTTGTAATGCCAGCAATTCAGAAACTGAGGCAGGAAGATCACTTGAGGCCAGGAGTTTGAGGCTAGCCTGGACAACATAGTCAGACCTGTCTCTACAAAAAATTTTAAAAAAAGTTAGCTGAGTGTGGTAGCACATACCTATAGTCCTAGCTATTTGGGAGGCCAAGGCAGAGAATCGCTAGAACCTAGATATTGGATGTTACAGTGAGATATGATCATACCACTGTGTTCCAACCTGGGCAACAGAGTGATACCCTGTCTGAAAAATAAATAAGTAAACAGACTATAAAGCGCAGAAAAGGAAAAGCTGGAAAAAGAACAAGAAATTGAATAAGACTTCAGTGGCCTCTAGTACACTATAAGCAGTCCTAATAGATAATTATATTCACAGAGAAGAAAGAGGGGCAAAAAATTTATCAAAAAATGAGGCCCGGAAATTGTCCAAAGCTGGTGAAGATTGTAAATGCATAAATCCAAGAAGCTCAACAAATACGAGGCCACGTAAATATGAATGTAAAGAAAACTGCACCAAGACACATTATAACAATTTGCCAGAAACTACTGGTGAAACGCTAAGTATACTAAACCTAAAGAAAAGCTAAGCAGATGAAGAGAAAAGTCTGAGAAGTAACTAGAAAAAAGAGAGGAAACATTACTTACAGAGAATCAAGGTTAGAATGACCACTGACTTATCAGAAACAATACTTTATAAATGAAGCAATCCTCTATAAGGGAATGACATTTTTAAAGTACTGAAGGAATAAAACCATCAGACTAGAATTCTGTGTTCATCACAAATATCCTTTAAAAATGAAGATGAAATAAAGATACTTTCAGGCAGATAAGCTAAGAGGATCTGTCACTGTCAGACCTGCACTGCAAGAAAGATGAAATGAAGTTCTTCTGGTTAAAAGGATTCCAGATGGAAATTCGATCTATGTTAAGGAATGGAGAGCACTGTAAATGGCAAATATGTTGATAAATACAAAAGATTTTTCTGGCATTTTAATTTCTTTCAAAGATAGTTGACTGTTTAGAACAAAAATAACATCTGGAAATAAAATTAATAAGGATAGCACAGAGGACAGGAAGAAGAATAGAAAGAAGTGTACTGTTGTAAACATCACGTTTGATGTGAAGTGATGGAATGTCATTTAAATGAAGACTGCTGTGTTAATGGTGAATGTCGTAAACTCCAAAGCAACCACTAAAAAACCAAGCATTGGGCTAAAAGCCAATAGCATTGATAAACTAGAATACAGAATTAAGTACTCAGTCCACAAGAAGGCAGGAAAAGGAAAGAAAAGAGATGAGACTAATAGAAAAAAGATGGCAAATTCATAGACCTGGCACAGCCATGTCAACAGTTGTATGTAAATAGACTAAAACACCCCAAGTAAAAAGCAGAGATAATCAGAATGGGTAATGACCTTATATTGTCTACAAAAAAACCATTTTCAATGTACAAACAAAATAAGTTAAAAAATAAAATAGTGAAAAGCTATACAAACCCCAATCATAAGAAAGCTGAAGCGGCTGTGTTAATACAGGCAGAATAGGCTTCCAGTCTGCTCTTGAAATGTTACCAAAGATAAAGAAGTGTGCATCATAATGGTAAAGGGATCAATCAGCTCAGCAAAACACACAGAGCTCCAAAACACATGATGCAAAATCTGATAGAAGAAAGAGAAATCTAAACAGGAATTTTAAACATGCCTATCTTGTAGTATATAAAACAGAAAATCAGTGAGGTTATAGAATTTTTTTCTTTACCTGGTGACAAGGTCTCATTCTGTTTCCCAGGCTAGAGTGCAGTTGTGTCATCATAGCTCACTATAACCTCAATTTCTGGGCTCAAATGATCCTCCTGCCTCAGCCTCCCAAAGTGCTGGTCTAATTAGCCACACCCAGCTAATTTTAAAATTTACCTTCTTAATAGTTATGACCCTTCGGTCCCACTCATAGATATTTACCCAAGAGAAATGAAAATGTCAACAGATTCTACTCTGTGTTAGACCAGAAAATTAAAAAAAAAAAAAATGAAAGGCTGGGTGCGGTGGCTCACACTTGTTATCCTAGCACTTTGGGAGGCCAAGGCAGAAGAATTGCTTGAGGCCAGGAAGTTGAGGTTGTAGAAACCAGCCTGACCCACATAGCAAGACCCTGTTTCTACAAAAAATTTAAAAGTTAGCCAGACATGGTGGTACACTCCTGTAGTCCCAGCTATGTGGGAAGTTGAGACAGGAGGATCACTTGAGTCCAGGAGTTGTAGGTTACAGTGAGCTCTGATGACACCACTTTACTCTAGCCCAAGTGACAGAGAGAGACCCTGTCTCTAAAGCAAAACAAAAATAAACAAAAGGAAAATGTCCACAGAGACTTGAATATGAATGTTCATGCCACTTTTCTCAAAGTAACCCCAAACTGGAACAGCACTGATGTCTAACAGCAGGAGAGTGGGTTAACAAATGGTGGTGTGTCCACACAGTGGAATATTGCTCAGCAGTACAAAGAAGCCTCGGATACAATACCATGGATTAATCTCGGAGGTATGCTGAGCAGAGACAGCCAGGCACGAAACAGACCATGTGTTTGACACCATTTATGTGAAGTGTTAGAATAAGCAAAGCCAATCTGTAGTGAAAGAAAGCAGATTGGTGTTTGTCTGCAGTGGGGCTGGAGTGGGTGAAATTGACTAAGTTATACATTGGAATTTTTTTTTTGAAGCAGGGTAGGTGTTTAATGAATTCAGGTTTAGTACAGAGGCTGCCATTGGAATACATTGGGATTCTTTAGGGTCATGGAAATACTCTTATCATGAGTGGAGTTGGGTTATCTTGAAGCATGTACTTTTGTCAAAACTAATTAAACACTGCAGTTCAAATGGGTATATTTTAATACATGTAAATTATACCTCAATAAAGTCGATTTAAAAGAAAGCAGGTAAGGAGTTGAGAGTTAGATAGGTTGTGAAAAACAGAACTAGAACATTAACCACAAAAACCCACAACTTTTAAATTGTACTATTAACTCAAGCAAAGTGGTATTTCAGGAAAACATCAGTGTATATAACTGATAAATGAGAAATTATTGAAGAGGAAAGCCATAGTTTTTTAGATTGTGACAGACTTCTAAACAAACAGGCAAGTTCACAAAATGCCTGATCAATGCAAACAAATTACAAATGTTTGGGCAACAGTCTTCAAGGGGTTCTATAACCACAGATGACTGGTTTAGAGACGTGAGTGAAGGAAGCCCAGTGGGAGATTGTCCGTGAGAGAACTTGGTGACCGTGTTGCTGAAGATTCTTGTCAAATGGTGACCACTTGTATTAAATTGTTATCTCAGTCACATTTATGTTGGATGACGGCTTAATTTATTAATATAAGAAAAGCAAGATTAAAAATACGCAGCTTATTGTCAGATGTATTACCTGACAGAAAGTTAATAGGTTGTTAGTATGATCAAATTCTCGAGAAGATCACAGAACAAGCACCTGAGAACTAAGCTAAGAAAATGAAAATTGGCCTTTAAGCCAAAATATGCTGGCGTCAGTGTGGCTGTGAGCATGTGTGTGATGTGGGTATTCCGTCCTAAGGGCATACAAGCCTGGGGTGGCAGTGGGACCTTGGTGGGGCCTGCGTGACCTCACTTGCTCTCAGCGCCTCCCTGCCATTGTGTCCAGCTCTGAGAGGAGTTGTTTGGATGAGTAAAAAAGCTGACCACTTAGACTTCTACTGGTCTGGGGCCTCCTGAAAAAGGCCCTCGTTGCATGTTTGAGAAAGCAGTTTCATGATCTCTTGTTGCACGAAAATCGAAAAAATTAATGTGAAGAGAGATTTCCCCAGATCAAAAAGCTTTTTTTTTTCTCCTTAGCATTGCTGGCTTAGCCTAAATTTTGCCATTTTATTTTTTAGCCTAGGTTTTAAAAACTCGAAACTTCAGATTCAAATCTAAAACTGAATGTGACAATTTGCCTGATGGCATTTAACTTTTTCTTACCCTGTGTATATTTTTTATTGTGATACCACTGTGCCTAATACTGTTGTATTTCTTTGTAATCAAGAAACTATGGGCCATTTTGTAAACTCTGAATACTTCCCATCTTTGCTATCACAAGTTTTATTTATTTATTTATTTATTTAATTTTTTTTGAGACAGAGTCTCACTTTGTTGCCCAGGCTAGAGTAAGTGCCGTGATGTCTGCGTAGCTCACAGCAACCTCAAACTCCTGGGCTCAAGCAATCCTTCTGCCTCAGCCTCCCGAGTAGCGGGGACTATAGGCATGCACCACCATGCCCAGCTAATTTTTTCTATATATATATTAGTTGGCCAAGTAATTTCTATTTATAGTAGAGACTGGGCCTCACTCTTGTTCAGGCTGGTTTCAAACTCCTGACCTCGAGCAATCCACCCGCCTCAGCCTCCTAGAGTGCTAGGATTACAGGCGTGAGCCACCACGCCCAGCCAGCTATCACAAGTTTTAAAGGATAACTACATTAATTCTGGCACTTAAAAATTTTTTTTGTTACGATTGTAGACTAAAACACACCCCATTGTGTTTTGGATGGTGCTGGATTTATACCAACCCAAATCTCTCCTCCTGTGTCTTGTTCCCCCAGTTATTGACACCCATTTGCAAGATCCCTGGCCAGGACGGAGTCACTAGTGAAGGTGGAGCAGGGCTGGGCACTCTCAGGAATTCAGCCCAAGAGGTGCATCATGTTCTGAGTTCACAAGCAAATCATGTATACCCTTAAAATTAAGATTTATGACTTGGAAGTAGCCAGTGAGAGATTACGACTGCTTTTTTAAAAGAAGCTGTCGCAGATGCCTTTGCTCACCTGTCTTCTGTGGACAGCGTCCTTCTCAGCTGTTGCCTGCAGCTGTCGCCACTCTGGGTGATGAGAGGGCATGCGCTGGTTTGCCTGTCCTCTCCCTGCTAGCTGCCAGGCTCTGTGGGAGCAAGGACTTTCTGTTCCATGTCACATCCCAGTGCCTAGCCCTGTGCCAGGCACACAGAAAATACTTGGCAAATATTTGCAGAATCCCCTTTAAATGGAGTAAAAATGTAAAGGAGCATTGCTGGACAGTTTATTAAAAGGATAACTCGATGGTGGGATAGTAGGAATTTTCTATTTTCACATTCAACACACAATTCTAGTTTTGTCCTTTTCATCTATGAAAATTGCAATCTAAAGTGCAGGCCTAATTTTGTATATCTCTACACGTTTCATACTCACTTATTCTTGATTTTCCCAGAAATAGACTTTTTGTTATACCCTCTAAAGATTCAAAACCAGTTGTCGATTTTTGCTTTGTTTTGCTTTGTTTTGCTTTGTTTTTTAAGAAATGGGATCTCACTATGTTTCCCAGGGTGGTCTCAAACTCCCAGGCTGGAGCGATCCTCCCACCTCAAGCCTCCTGAGTAGCTGGGGCTGTTGCACTACTGTTCGCAGAAACATTGATTTTAAAAACAGATACATACTTACGCTGTACAGGATTTAGCAGAGGGAGGATCAAACTGAGATGTCCAGGGGACAGTCCAGTGCCAAATGCTACCTAGTACTAAGGTCAGAAGTACCTCTCCATGCAAAATTAACCCTTAGATGATAACTTACAGTGAAGCAATAGAATTTGTTTATGCTTCCTTCAAATGTAAAGTTTATTTTGGTATTTTGCATCTTCTTTGAAGTTAAATTTCAAATATGCAGAATATATAGTTAGAATAGTTGAATAGGTACGCTTAACTTGTTAAATGGATGGATATGTGTTGCCTGAATTGGTCATGTTATACTCAGTGGTGTGAGCAGGGAGGTTGCCTGATATGTGACAGTTGCCAATGATGGGAAACAGGGCAGTGTGTAAAACAGGAAAAGACAGGGTGGCAGCATGTTAGAAGGGGAAGGTTGCAGAGTAAATGTGTGCAGGTAAGTCCACCAGACAACAGGCTCTGTCCTTACTCTTTACCACAGCTCTGAGAGCAGAAGCAGTGTTGACATGGTTGGATAGGTATGTTTGGTTTTCTGGAAATAAGATAGGCTTAATGATGAGCAGAACTTAAAATTGAAAACCTGCTTTGCATTCTATTTGTCATAAAATAAAGACCAAACTCTAAAGTTCATTCCACACATTTGTGAAGAGATGAAATTGTGTTTCTGATAGTACGTCGTACAATTCTGGAGTTCCACACACCCAAGCTCAAATTGCAACCCTGCTCTGGTTAGCTCTCTGATCTTGGGCAGCTTATGGAGCTTTGAGCGTCCATTTCTCCTCTGTGAAACAGGGATGGTAGGGGTAGTACCTAATTCATAGTCATCGGATGGAGTACAGAGAATGATGTTTGTGAGGTTCTTAACCTGATACCAGGCATTTCATAAACACTCAGCAGATTTAACTGTCACATAGATAAGGTCATGACAGAGTTTTCATTTTCTTTTAAAGGAGAATCAGGTCTAGGAAAATCGACTCTTATAAATAGCCTCTTCTTGACTGATCTCTACCCAGAAAGAATCATACCTGGAGCTGCAGGTAAAAAAAATTCCTAAGTTACTGTAAGTGTGATTCTACTTGCAGTTGCTAAAGTGTGCATGGTTAATGTTTTATGCCTTAGCTCTGTGTTCTGTTTGTTCTTGTTCAGCTTTGACTACAAGGAAAATATCACTTAGGTGGGGAAATATACTGCACCCGAGGTCTTTGGAGCTTGGTTGTAGATTTTCTGTGACACACATTCATGGATCCATCCTCTCTGAGTGTTTTTCTTTGCCTGAAAAATATACTTTCTGGCTGTGTTACACATTTGATGGCAGGATCAAATGAGATTGTTCTATGTCATTAGAAAGGCCATATACATAGAAGATTGCTGTATTAATAGATGGTATCTGACTGGTTCATCTCCTGTTGAGTGTTCCAGTGCAGGACACCAGCATCTGTAAATGCTCGTTGAGTGAATTAAACACACAAAGTCAGAGCCTAGCAGATGGGCTGCCACAAGAAGACAGGTACCCCTTTCACAGATATTTTTTAGTTCAATTTTTAAATGAATTCATAAACTGTTTTCTTTATCCTAAGAACAGAAGTTATAATTTTTTTATTTTTATTTTTGAGACAGAGCCTCGCTTTGTTGCCCAGGCTAGAGTGAGTACCGTAGCATCAGCCTAGCTCACAGCAACCTCAAACTCCTGGGCTCAAGCAATCCTGCTGCCTCAGCCTCCCAAGTAGCTGGGACTACAGGCATGCACCACCATGCCCGGCTAATTTTTTTTCAATATCTATTAGTTGGCCAATTAACTTCTTTCTATTTATAGTAGAGACGGGGTCTCACTCTTGCTCAGGCTGGTTTTGAACTCCTGACCTCGAGCAGTCCGCCCGCCTTGGCCTCCCAGAGTGCTAGGATTATAGGCGTGAGCCACCGCGCCCAACCAGAAGTTATAATTTTTAATATTGGCATTTCTTACTTTCCCAAGCAGCACATTAATCTTAGCTTTGACATTTCCCTTTCTGACTCTGGGATCATTTTTTATACAATCCTTATGTTATTTTCTGAGAAGCTACCTCCACAGAGATGTAGTAAACTTCTAAGTCATTTGTTGTAAGAATATTAATAATAGGTAATTTTTCTTCTTTGCGTACTGTTTAGCAGTGTTCTCTATTAAGTTTATTTCTTCTCTAGAAAAAATAGAAAGAACTGTCCAAATTGAAGCTTCAACAGTTGAGATTGAAGAGCGGGGGGTCAAGCTGCGACTGACGGTGGTGGATACCCCTGGCTATGGCGACGCCATTAACTGCAGGGATTGGTGCGTGCACAGACATTTGTTTACGTTTATTTGTTCTGATTTGTTAAATTTATAGATAGTGTTAATCAGTGATTATTAGGTTTGGGGTACAGTTTATAGTAAAACAGTGATACAATTTAAAGCACATTAAATGTAGACTTTTTAAATAAGGAACTTTATAGAAAATGAGTAGTAAAGTGTTTTTTCTGTAAGAACAATCTAATGAGATCTGAGATCGCAAAGCCTAACATCCATAGATTGCTAGTAAAATTGAAACACATTAATTTGAACTGTGGCCAGTGGACAAGATATTATTATAATATATCCTTATGGGTGGGAGTCATTCAAGACACAATGCCTGTCAGTGACTGCTCCTTGGTATCCTTTTCACAAGTAAGGAAATGAAGAAGTAGAAGATAGAGCAGTCTGTCACTTGTACTGTGCAGAAAATACCCTTTTTGTTGTACAGACTCTCTCCTGGTTCTACTCCCATAAAGCATCAGTGTTTTAACACTGGGTGAGAAAAGGGAAGCAAGGGGAAAGATCCTTCTTCTGTCTTCCTCCTGCATCAGGAATTTCTCTTCTTTCCATCATGTTTCACATCTCAAGTGACCTTGCTCCTGACCCATGTCCACTGCCACCACCCTTCCCCTCTGCCCCTTCCTAGTCACACTCCTTGAAAGCATTGGTAGCTCTCTGTCGTCACTGGCTGTCGGGTGCTTCGTAACCTGTTCCATCCAGGCGTTTGACTCCTAGCACTAAGGGAAAGTTACGCTTGGCACAGTTTCCAGAAACCTCCACTTTGCCAAATCTAGGAGTCTCATCTTAAAAATGGATTGTTAAATTATATATGTTTGGTCGGAGCTGGGGAGGAGGGAAAAGAGTTGTTTTCCTTTGCAATTAGGGACACCTGTCTTTTGTATCCCATAATCGATGTTTGTGTTTCTCTCAGTTTTAAGACAATTATCTCCTACATTGACGAGCAGTTTGAACGGTACCTGCACGATGAGAGTGGCTTGAACAGGCGGCACATCATTGACAACAGGGTGCACTGTTGCTTTTACTTCCTTTCACCTTTTGGGCATGGGTAAGCAGTTGCTTACTGTGGACACCTCTGCACTACCTCGGTTTGCAAGTTGCCCCCAAACTGTATACTTTAAGAATTAAGATAATTTTGCAAGAGAAAAAATTTTTGCATGACCTCATTTTTCCCCTAAATATGTGACACTTCTAAAATTATTTTTAGACTTAAACCTTTAGATGTGGCGTTTATGAAGGCAATACACAATAAGGTGAATATCGTGCCTGTCATTGCAAAAGCCGACACTCTCACTCTGAAGGAGCGAGAGCGACTGAAGAAAAGGGTGAGTACAAGGCCAGCCTCCTGTCCTCCCTTGGGGCGACCGGGAGCCAGCTACCCGGGAGGGGAGGGGAGGAGTATATCCACAGATGCCATCAGTCTGCTCAGGCACGGAGAGGCATTGGTCCTGCATTTTGGTGGTGTTTTTTTAGGACCACCTAACAGTTATTTTTTAATATTTTGCTTTCGTGAAGGTACCAAATTTCTGTTCTTTAAATTCTTAGATAAAAATACTCTCAATGAGTAAGTAGCCAAGTGCAAAGTGATTCCATGATGTGTTAGGTAAATGACACAAATATGGAAGTATGATCTCTCCAGGAAGTTTTATTATTTTACCTAAATACTTGACTGGAAAAGATCCACTGAACCATATATCCCTGTGTCGTATCTGCGAAGGTGCCACACTGCAGCTGCCGGCCGGTTGATGCGCCTCGCACCCCCCACACTGACCTGTCCTCTCCGGTGCCCCTGTTTTAGTGCTCTCTTCTGTGTGTCTGTAAAGCCTCTTTGTTGACTTTCTGCTATGTATTTTCTTAATTATTTTCTGATTGCTCCTTAAGAAAGTCCAAACAGTTTATATATGCTAAACTCTGAAAATAAGAATTCCTAGCTAGGCACAGTGGCTCACACCTGCAATCCCAGCTGGAGGCTGAGGTAGGAGGATCACTTGAGCCCAGAGGTTTGAAGTCAGCCTGGGAAACAAAGCAAGACCCCCATCCCTAACCTGTAATTATCCACAGAAACAGCATCTGTTAACAGTTAAACATATATCCTTCCAGAACATAGTCTATTTATGTTTTTATTTTCATAGAATAGAATCCTACTGTAATACTACTCTGCCGTTTGACTATTCAATTAAAAAAAATATATTTAAACCTCATGATCTATATCTCTGCTATAATTCCGGTAGATGCACAGTATTCCACTGTATGAATACACAGCAGTTTGGCCAATTCCTTATTGATGGTTTTTTGGCTTGTTTGCTCTGGCTCCTTTTAATCTCTGAACACATTTTCTGTCACCTTGCTGTTCCTCAGACCAGATGCATTCCTATCTTAGAACCTTTTTGCTGTGACACTCTCTGCCTGGACAGTTCTCCCAGATGTCTGGGTGGGTAATGCCCTCTCATTGCCTGCCCCTGGGTTCTGAGATCAGGAATTTTGGCCTTGGTCACTCATGTACTGCAAGAGTTCAGAATAGTACCTAGCATATAGTAGACCCTCAGTAACATGTGTTGAGTAATTATTGTTATGAACATTGGTACACATCTGTCTTCTCGCGATTGTGTGAGTCAGATGAATTCTTAGGAAGTAAATGCACATTTAAATTTTTGAAAGATGGCTAAATTTCCCCCAGAATAAATTTGTAATAATTTACATTCCCGAAACATACTCTTCTCTCCACCCCCTGTAACTATCCTGGATATGTGACCAGTTCTTGTAAAGTGTTTGTCATGTGAGAAATTGTATCCCATTTTTAATTTGTAGTTTCTTCCTTGCTGGCGTGAGTCTGTCCTGGTATTTAATACTGGTTGGAGTGTTCTCTCATGTTGTAGGGCTTTGGCTATTTTTTTTTATCACTTTTTATTGCTTCTTTAATCGATTTAACAGATATTCTTTAATTTTTTTAAAGAATTAAAAAAAATTAATTCTCTTTGCACTGTCTCTTCACTTTTCACTCTCTCTTTGCAAATGATTTCTCCTAGTTTGACTTCTGTGTTTTCACATATTTCTTGTGTCTTTTGCTATGGCAGAGTTTTTAATGTAATTTGTCAGCTTTTTCCTTTATTAGCTCAAGTTCTGCCAGTTTTTTAGGAAGTATTCAGGGCCTTGGAAGAGTCCCTGAAAGCTTAGACATTTTTATGCTTGACAGTATTTTTGCAGTTCCTAATTAAGGAAACTTCACCTTTTATATGCTTACATTAAATTTCATTAAGGTAGAGGAAGGGGGGATTCAGGGTTAGAATACTCTAATTTTAATCCCTAACCCTATATCCAAAACCTACAGTGCTCAGTTAGAAAGTCTGAGATGAATTAAAATACTTAGAGCATTTATTCCTTCTTTCACAGTCTCTTTTATCACTCTTTTTATGATTTCTTCCTATATGTCCATGGGTTTTTTCATTCTGCCTCATCCAGAAGAACCTCTTGCCTCCTACCAGCCTCTCCTATTTTAGTCAGACATGTCCTAGTTGTTAAATACCTTCTCCAGGATCCTTTCACTCTGGTTTCCGGACACCCAGCTTATAGGTGTCCTACCCTGGGCTTGGCCAGCAGTTTGTCCTCACGGGTGGGCCTTCCCTGTGGAGAGTGCCACGATTGGCCAGTTCTGCTCCTGAAGCTTCCCCTCCTTGGCTGCTATGCCCTGTGTGTATTTTGCTGTCTGCCTGTTTTTCCACCTTCCTGATCCCTAACAGTCAGCATTCCTTGGTCACATTATATCCGTGTCTTTTGCGTTTCCCTTCCAAGTATCTTATTTCTTTATGTGAACTATGTGTACAAACAGGAATCCTCTTTTCCTCTCTGATGAACTCTTGTCCTTCTAAGTTCCCTGTCCCTTTAATTGGTCCCATAATTCTTGCAATCACCCAGACTGAGAAATGTGTAAGTTTTTTTTTTTGATTCATCTTTCTTTCTCCTCTCTTCCAATCTTAAAGAGTCTGCTTACTAAATGTTTCTCATATCTCTTCTCCATAGTCAAGGCTCTGTCTTTATGAATTCAGCTTAAGACAAAATACAGGGTCAGAAGGGATGGACAATAGACCAGGAAAGGGGCCATGGAATGCAGGCCAGAGAGCAAGTTCCTGCCCACTGCTCAGTCTTCTCAAGAGTGAGCTGGCTTCTCCTATTTAGGGGTAAGGATTTATAAGACTGAAGGTTAGGTTACAAAGTAAAGGATGTAGTGGAGGGGAAGGGTCTTTTCTGAAGTTCTGAATTAGTGCAGGCATTGTATGGAGACCAAGGTCCTTGACCGTGCAAGGCCCAAGAGACTACATTAAGGATTTTCATTCTCAGAACCAAAGGACAAATACAGTACAGAGTTTGAGGTGGGAGAGTTTTCCACTCACTTTGCTCTTATTCTCTTCCTTTAATGGCCTAAGTCCTGGAGTGAGAGCAAGCAGAGCCCCCGCTTGCCTGGTGCGTAATAGAGCGTCCAGCGTGGTGGGCATTTAGGGACTAGGTTTTTATTTGCTTTTTTTTGTTTGTTTGTTTGTTTGTTTTTAATTAATATTCTTCTACATTGTCTTATTTTATTTTATTTTATTTGGAGACAGAGTCTCACTCTTTTGCCTGGTCCAGAGTGCCGTGGCATCAGCCTAGCTCACAGCAACCTCAAACTCCTGGGCTCAAGCAATCCTTCTGCCTCAGCCTCCCAAGTAGCTGGGACTACAGGCATGCGGCACCATGCCCGGCTAATTTTTTCTGTTTTTAGTTGTTTGGCTAATTTCTTTCTATTTTTAGTAGAGAGGAGTTCTTGCTCTTCCACAGGCTGGTCTCGAACTCCTGAGCTCAAGCAGTCCTCCCGCCTCAGCCTCCCAGAGTGCTAGGGTTGAGCCACTGTGCCTGGCTAGGACTGGATTTTTAATTGTTTGACTTATTTATGACTGCTTATTTCAGCGCCAGCCCAGTTTTTCCTCCTCTCTGCCACCCCACACTCCCTCGGCATTCTACTGCCTGGTTGATAGATCAGATTGTGCTATTTCACTGCTGGGTGCTTTGCTGCCTTTTGAATAAAATCCAGACCTCTGGGTCCCTAGCCTGGTGGTCAGGAAACTCACCTTAATTTTTTTTTCCCTTATGCAACAAGATATCTTAGATTCCGACCTTTTGAATTTCTTGTTATTTCCAGAACACATGTCATGTGTCATCTCCTGTGCCTTTGCCAATTTATTTTTTCCATCTGGGGTGCCTCTCCCCTCTGCTGTTCTCTAGAACTTCTCGTGCCTATAGTTTCTCCTGTGGTATCTGCCCTTCTTGAGGCTGACTGTGGTGTGACCATGGGGCTGTCATTTGTCTTCCTTCTCCTTTGTACATTGAAGGTGACGTGTCTTATTCCTAACGTTACTGTTTATTCTGGATAGAGGATCCCTCAAAATTCAAGCAGAAACGCCTTTATAAAAAAGAAAAAAAAAAAAAAGGAACGGGTCTCTCTTATCTGTGTCACTCAGGCTGGACTGAAATGGCACGATCATAGCTCACTGCAGCCTTGAATTCCTTGCCTCTAGTGAACGTCCTGCCCCAGCCTCCCAAGTTGCTGGGACTACAGGCTCGCACCACTACACCTGGCTAACATCTTAGAAATTTTTTAGAGACGGGGTCTTGCTATTTTGCCCAGGCTTATAAATACCTTTTTAGCAGTTTATAAAATCATTTGAAAATAGCTTCAGTAAGCTGTTTGATTCTTTTGTTGACATTTCTGTGATTCTGATATATTCCCTTTTATTTTAATCTCTTCAAATTCCCTTTATCAGATTCTGATATGTTTCTAATAAGAGGAGTTAGACTTGAATAATATGCAGCTTGCTAAAGTTGATCTTGGTTTTGTCATTCTTTCAGATTCTGGATGAAATTGAAGAGCATAACATCAAAATCTATCACTTACCTGATGCAGAATCAGATGAAGATGAAGATTTTAAAGAGCAGACTAGACTCCTCAAGGTAAAAGCTGGCTTCACATACACAGTGTAAATAGCTCCTGTTTCCTGTTGTCTGTGCATTTAAAATGAAAGAGCAGGCAAAGGACCAAATATCCTAGAAGGCTTGGCCTCTGAAAGATCAGCTGGGTAGATTTGATTACAATGGTATTTTTGCTTAAGCTATATCTTGACATAGCTATTTTCTAAGCCCTAGAAATTTTATTGCAGGTTTAATTTGTTTCCATATAATTTGTCCCATGTGTAAAACATCCCACCCATCCCTTGAAAATGTTACATGCCCCAGCTTTCCAGTTACATTTCATAGTGAACAGCAGTGTGCCAAATCTGTGCAAATTGACTTGTTTGCAGCAAGCACTGGGGTTCTCTGTGTAAAGACTACCCTGTGTGTCTCTTTCTAGGCCAGTATCCCATTCTCTGTGGTTGGATCCAATCAATTGATTGAAGCCAAAGGGAAGAAGGTCAGAGGCCGCCTCTACCCCTGGGGTGTTGTAGAGGTCGAGAACCCCGAGCATAACGACTTCCTGAAGCTGAGGACAATGCTCATGTGAGTTGTCCCGTGCACTCCCTCTGCAGGGCCTGGCGTGGGGCGTGTGTGCGTGTCCTCCACGCAGTGCAGCAGCAGCTTCACGGTGCATCTGCAGGGCTTTCTTGCGGTGCTGCGGTGGCCTGGGGACTGCCAACGCTCAGTGCCAAGGACCCTCACCTGGGGCTCTCTGTAATAGTACTGAACTAGCCTCTTTCTCCTGTGTCCTGTAGCTTAGCACCTCTGCTCCCTGCTCTCTAAGATGTCACATCTTTGAAGCAAACAGGAGTCTAGACCCACAATGTGGTCTGGGAGAGCCCCTGCTCTGGTGAGGAAACGGTCAGGGTCCTGCAGGGCACTGAGCAGCTGCTCCAGTCCTGCCAACAGGCAGTGCCCAGACTCATCAGCCTGGGCCTCCCAGGGCGACCCTGGTCAGCCTTGAGAGTCTTCCATTTATTTTTAGCAGCTACAGCAGACCTGACTACAAAAATAGACCTTTTTTCCTTACAGAATAAATTTTACATATAGAAACATGCATGCATTTCTGTTATTCTTGATTAAAGAGGCTGAAAGAGTGTTGCTTAAAATAAATACCTCTTTGATCAGAAGAGTTCAGAGAGTGATTGATGTATATTTTGATTAGCTGAAAATTGCTGTACATGCCATATCTGACTTAGTTTAGCAATTTTTAGTGAATTAAAATCTGTAAGATGTTACCATCCAAGCTTTAGCAAACATAACAATAGTTGTATAAGAAATGAAAGTGCACTCAGCCCCTCGAGGACTGAACCCGTGACTGTTCAGTCCCTTTCGTTGAGAGGGGTGTGGAGGCTAAAGACACAGTTTGGGAACTTGCACTTTAGTGTTTCTCAAAATGAGGGAGTATGAACCGCCCCTTTGCCATCTCTCAATGTGTTGCCCTGCATCCTGAGTAAATAGGAGTGTATTGTAATGTTCACCCATTCTTGATTGCTTAAGTATTTGAATGAGCTGGGCAGTTTTAAAAAGCATGAATGTTTCATAAGATGAAGAGAAGGGTCAAGGTTCTGTGTCTCTTAGATCCAGAGTATTTATAGTCTTCTCCATAGCATTAACTAATCAGCTATTTCTGATGTGGAGTAATATATACATTTTAAGCTTAAGAAGTCATGAATACATGAATTGCGTATTTCCGTACATTTTTAGCGAAGTGTTTGTTTCATACATGGTCTGTTAGCCTCCCTGCAGTGGTGGTGGCTCCTGCGGGGACGAGAGGTGCCTGTGGCAGGGTCCAGTGGGAAGGACTTACTCAGTGCAGACCTGCTGAGGGGTATGTGTGTTGTTGACTGTGGTATCGAGGGAGAGCTACACCTCACCATGTGTTTGCAAAGCCATGCTCTTCATCCTGAAATCCCAGTAACTCTGTGGACAATTTACTAAGTAATTTTGAGTTGTGTTTTCCCATGAAAATGCCATCTGCATGTGGCCATTTTGATATGTTTCTCTTCTCTTTCAGCACCCACATGCAGGATCTCCAGGAGGTGACCCAGGACCTCCACTATGAAAACTTCCGTTCCGAGAGGCTCAAGAGAGGCGGCAGGTTGTCACATTGTCCCCCTCTGTATTGTGTCACCCCAAGTCACGTTGTTCCCCACTCTTCTATGTGTCCAGCTCAGCCTTCTTGACCACTGAGCAACATGGTTTGGTTCTCTACTCAAAAGACATTACAAAAGAGTTGCTGCTAATTTCATCAAAGTATGGCAGTTTAGCCTTATAAAGAGAAGATAGATTAAATAATGTGCACGTAACGACAGCTTTAGATGGAAAAGCCCAGAGGTTTGTGCTGGGTGCTTCTTCAGAAGCAGCACTCTGTAATGAGGTCAGATTTATTTGCCACTAGGAAACTACAGTGCCCTATTAGGTTGAGCCTAGGGCATGGGACTTCCCCACGGCTGTCATAGCAGCGGCTCTGCTCCCTGCGAACTCCTACAGCCACCCTCACTCACCTTTCCTTCTTTCCCATCCTGATGTGTTTTTATATCAAGTCTCCATTTTGTGACCTGATTTATGATCTATGTCTAATAAAACCACATCTCTGCTTAGAGTAGAGCTTAATGAACATATAAACATCATTTATTAAAAATTTTCTTTATCAGAGATCTTAAAATATTCACATTTTAATAATTTGTTGGGTTTGTGTATACCTGTGAGGTACACATGGACGTCTAGTTTATTGTCTTATCAATTTGGGAAGCAGACATTAAGAAAGGTCTTTTGAGGCAGCAAGAAAATTCCACTCTCAGGAAGCCACACAGGTCTGGCCAAGACCAGGACCCGGCATGCACTGAGGCGCCGTGTGGCCAGCTGCGCATGCGTAGTTTGCCCCGGCCCCCGCTCCACTGCACTCTCTTACCTGATCCACCTCTTAAATGTAATGATTACCTCTGTGTTCACAAAGAGTAACTTACCTCAAAGGTATTCTTCCAGCAATACTTACTGTTTTTTAAGTTGGTAAAGATGAAAGTTTTGTCACCTCAGCTTAGAGTAAGAAGTCTCTTCGTTTTTCCATTTCATGTTTAGTCCTTTTTTCATCATTCTCTTCCCTTTTTATTTATGTCTTTAATCAGAAAAATAACTACATATAGACTTTTCTTTTGGGTGTCTGTAATCAGAAATAACTACTGTATTTGTTGCAGTATTATAACTGTAATTTCTTTCAACTCTTAGGAAAGTGGAGAGCGAGGACATGAATAAAGACCAGATCTTGCTGGAAAAGGAAGCTGAAGTGAGTACAGCAGCACTGTTCTTAGGACTGAAGCTGTTTACTTCCCATCCAATCATGTTAATTATAATTAGCTGATTATAGTTTTCCTTCCTTAATTTTTTGAGGGGGATTATATTACATATAGCTAATCTATTTCATTACTATATATGCACCTACACATAGTGATATATACACATATATGTATATCATACATACTGCTTTACATGTTTAGCTAGACTTAGAAACAGAGCTTAGTCATGTGACTTATCTTTGTAAAATGGTCAAAAATTAGTTTCCCCATATATCGACAATAACCAGTTGGAAAATATAATGGAACTGCCATTCACAACCATTTAAAAAAATTTAAGAAGAAATATGTAGCATTTATATGGGGGAAGAAATTAGAAAACTTCTAAAAACATTTTTAACAATTATAATAGACACAAAACTTTGTGTGTAGGAAGACTTAGTACAAGGATCACAGTTCTCTAAATTGAGCGCAATCCAGAAATCACAGCAGAGTTGTATATGTTTGCTGAGTTTTCTCTTTTAGAGGAGAGCTTGATAAAATAATGCTTATTTTGAAGAATAAGCATGAGAAACAGGAATTATTGAGAAGAGGCTTACATTACTGGTCACAAAAACATCAGAGAGCATCGGTCATCCGCACTGTGCATAAGGCCTGATAGGCTGATCAGCTAGGTATCTAGCAGTACATTAGAAATATGGAAACGGCTCTGTCTTAAAGGTGCCGTTCAGACCTTCTAGAGTGGTGGCATGCAGACAGATTCCTTGGTGAATTACATGAGCATCATGTGCCAGCCTTCTGGAAACAAAAAAAAAAAAACCACTTCTTTGGTCAGATTAATTGAACACAGATCAAATATTTAAATGTTAAAAACATAACCACAAATTAACTGATGAAAAATTGGAGGCATTTCTGAACAAACCGAAGTGATAATAGTTTGGTGTGGGTGAAGATGGAGAAAGGCTCGCTGGTTCCGTGGTCAGAACCTCGCTGCCTCCAGAGGCCGAATCGCTCCCGTTCACCTTTCCTTTGCACTCCCCATCCAGCGTTGTCATTCCTCTCCCACATTCTCAGTTTAAAAATGTCTCATTTTCTTTGCCTTGATTATTGCTTCTATTTTCTGAGAATTTTTTTCCTACTTGAAATGCATATTCTTGTTTACTTGGCTTCCTATGGAGTTATTGATTCTTTTATTGATTTGTAAAAATTCCTTGTATATTAACTCTTTGTCTTGTCTTAGGAAACCATAAAAGTTAAGGTTTTAGGAATTATAGAACACCCATAAGTAATGTTCAAAGACAGCAAACCGTGAAAACCAATAACGTGTCCACTGTGTCCTGTGTTGTAGCTCCGCCGCATGCAAGAGATGATTGCGAGGATGCAGGCGCAGATGCAGATGCAGATGCAGGGCGGAGACGGCGACAGCGGGGCGCTTGGGCACCACGTGTGAGGTGATGTGCACATGTTAGTAAGTCAGGGAGGCAGGCCCTGGTGTCCACCACCTGGACACCAAGCAGGTGTTCCTAACGCCTGTTAGTATCATGTCAACTTGAATACAGTGGCAGGCTCTTCTTCCTCCCTAAGTCTTACTAATGTTTTGCATTTTTGAAGCTGTCATTAACTAACATCGCTGGCCTTAGAGAAGGGATCACTCCTAAAACACAGAAGCCACTGCTTTGCCACCTTCTTTCTAATAAAGGTTTTCATATTTTCTAAGATTACAAACATGATTAACATTAGAAGGAAAATTACACATTAAAATACTTTTGTTTTACAATTGGAAATTTGTTAATGCTGAGAACATCTCTTCAAAGAGAATAAAAAAGTATTATTTAAATAGCTTATGCAGATAAAATAAAGACGCCATGAAGGGGAAGAACGATGCCGTAGGTAAGCAAGGGTTCTCTTGATGGAGACGGTCGGCTTCCAGCTCCTCAGGACAGTGCTGCGCTGTCTAGCCTGGTGTGCGCTGGCCGCCCTGCTTGATAAGTATCTGCAGACACCAGGACTCAGGGCAGATGTCTGCTGTCCTGCATCCTGTGGAAGGGTAGGTGTTCAGAGCTGTCCAGGTGGCTACTCCCGTCACCTCCCAGAGGAAGAGTGAAAGGTAAAGGTCAGAGACCTAAGAGTCCCAAGGAGAGAACAGTCACATGGTGCTGGGATGAAGGCAAACAAATCTCATGCAGGAGATACGATTAGAGCTTGGAGGAGAGTGTGAGTCAGCAGTGATCTGGGGAGGAAAAGCTGGGTACTAGGTAGATGGTCCCCACTGCAATTTAGGGACCTCATTCTGGGAGAATGAGAGTGTCCATGAAAATGGGGAGGAGACTTGAGGTAGCTGACACATGTGACAGGGCAGATTAGACAGAAGGCAAGGAGTCCAGCAGCCTCCAGGACAGATGGTTAATGCAGGACCAAGAGTGACATCCTGGGACATTGGTCACCAAACTCTTGCATAGCTGTATTGGGAAAGGTGTTCATTGTAAAATATAGTGTGTATCTGGAAAGACACAAAAATACGTGTGTACAGTTTAGTAAGTCCTCGTAAGGGAACATCTGTATCACCACCACCTGGGCCCACGTTGGTTGCTTTACTTTCATCATCACGTTGAAACTTCAGAATAGTCCTGAGGGCGTGTGCTGAGTCCAGACGCTGCTCAAGAGTTGAACACTGTTTGCCTGCAGTCACATCACTAGACAAGTGGCAGCTTCCTAACTGTAGCGCTGATTCTGCATGACCAGGTGTTGGTGTCTGAGCAGAGAAATGGCGGCACAGTGGGAACAATCAGGGACCCTCTCGCATGGGGCTTACTGAGGCGGGGGGAGTGAAGTTTACCCACTTTTCTCTGGTCTTGTTTCCTTTTAAAATTATGAAAATTTTACTCTAGATACATACAATTAATTTTTATTTCTGTATACTTTTTAGTTTTGTGGTACTTCCAATTTCCAAGAGTCTCATAAATGGCGTTTTGATTTAATGTTGTGATCACATAAACCCAACCTTTGTTCAGCTTATGCCCTCTGTTAAGGAGAAAAGTAATACTGCTGATGATCAGAGAAGCAAACATTGTGTTACCCATTTAAATGTGTTTTCATTTGTTTTTCTAGAAAACACTTTCCTGGATAAAAAGAAAACATTCCAGATGGTAATATAGCTGCGCGTTTTCATGAGATCGTTGGAAGGCTACCCATCCACATTTTGCAGAACCTGTGCCTGAAAATTTAATTTTGTTTTAAACTTTTGATGTGTTGTTTCTTTTTTTTTTTTTGTATCTAGTGCTTTTAGCATTTGCATTTCATTGCTGTTATACTTTATTTTTGTGAGATAAACTTTCATTTTTATTTTCTTCTTCCTTAACCCTAATGTTAGAACTGATTTTTAAGAATCAGCATGTATAGTTAATACTGAATTTCTTTATTTAGCTGATCTAACTGACTAATCATTGGTAAGCACTCTTGATTTATATCTGAAACACTGAGATTTACCCAGAATGTTCCTGAGTGGTGGAGACATGTGCCTAGAGCTAGAGAAAGATGTGCTGACGAGGTGCAAGGCTGTTTGCTCACCATGTCACACACTGGAGACCTAACTTCCTTGCTTTTATGTTTGTGCACAACACCTAAAACCAGTTCTGCTGCTATAATTCAATACTGTTGATAACATTTATCCGTTAACCAAGTAAAACAGAATAGAATTATCTAATGAGATGTATGTTAATACTTAAATAGCTTCTTTAAAACAGGCTTTTAGAGGTGAATTTTAAGAACTGTCTGGATTCTGATGCTAGGTCATTTTTGAGACCACTGTGCAGAGAACTCACCACAAGCCACTTTTTTGTAGTGTCTCCACTAATATTGGTTATACTGTGTTACAGAGAAAAATCAAAATAGCTGTGAGCTCTAGTTTTCATACTGCAACTAAAATTCTTACCTACACAATGAGAGTCAGGAAACTATTTTTACTCAACTAAATTTTTAAAATATTTTTAAGGAAAATTAGCAATTGACCTGTTCTGAAACCAACTTTTTTATATTTTATACTGCACTTTAGTGTATTTTCTGTAACTGTGGGTGTAGAAGATCTGCCTCAGCTATGGAGATTGGGGTCCTTTGGCTGACGGGCCCTTCAACCCCCCCAGCTTGTCATTGAGCAGTGTTTCTGCACTAACTCAGCTCCATGAAGCCCAGAGGCCGACCAGGTTTTCTTGATTTAGGTTTCTTTTAACTATTCACTTTTTGAATGTTTTTCTGATGGGAGGTAAAATAGCAGTGATCACTTTTTTATGTGCAGACTGTCTCATTTATTTTTCAAGTACTGTCACTTCCTCTATTTTATGTAATATAGATTTCTCCATGTGCCATGTAAAAGTGAAAGGTACGTCAAATCTGTAGTGTAGGCTGGTCAGAAGGTTGAAGCCACACCTGGTGTTTTCTGTGCACTCTGGCCTTGGCCCTCACCTTTCCTTCCTGTGTCTCCTGTGGTACACTTTTATCATTTATATTCACACTGGGAAATTTGAAAGCCCGAAAGTGATATATGAAAGGACACAACGGTTATGGAGGGAGCGTAACTGGGTCAGTATTTTCATTTTATAATAGGAGGAATTGAGATTGAAAAAATCTTAATCTGAGGATGAGATGGGGTTTTTGTTTTGGCCTGGAAAAAAATGGTCAAATAATCTTAGTTATGAAGGTGTACTACAGAAAATAATCTGGTGGTCTTGCTTACTTTGCCTCACTGTTGCATAATTATGAATGATCAAAAGCTGTATGCTGAGGTTCACTGAGGTTTTTCCCAAGAAAAAGTATTGCATGATTTCAGAGTACATCCATGCTCAATTATTAGGTTTTTTGACATTTAATGACTTTGCTAGAAAAAGTTGTAAAAACAAAAAAACATCTTGAGGTGATTGATGTGTGTCCTGCATATGTTTGAGTAAAAGTGCTGTTTAGGACAAGGTGCCACCTAATGCTGGTCACGCAGGGTGGGAGGGCACGCACTGTTACACTTCTAAGTCCCCTTTTGTTTTGCTACTCAAATATACGCTTTTGCTAACAGAAAATTGCTTTTACGAAGAGATAATCTCTACCTATAGAAATGTATTTTGAAAACACTTATTTTACACAGCAATTTTGTATCCATTTAAACTAACCTTTTATCAATAAAGCACTATTGTTTAGATATTAAATGAGTAATTCTCTTATTGGTTCTTTACAAGAGAAAACTGTGAGGTTTTCTGGGGAAGATTCATAACCCTGACAATATCTGTGTATAAAATCACAAAGAGGCTGGGTGCAGTGGCTCACACCTGTAATCCCATCACTTTGGGAGGCTTGAGGCCAGGAGTTCTAGACCAGCCTGGGCAACATAGCAAGACTGTTTCTCTACAAAAAATTTAAAAATTAGCCAGGTATGGTGGCCCACACCTATAGTCCCAGCTACTTGGGAGGCTGTGGCAGGAGGATTGCTTGAGCCATGATCACACCACAGCACTCCAGCCTGGGTAACAGAGCAAGACCCTGTTTCAAAAAATAAAATATAAAATCAGAATTATTTCTATCAATAGCATCAGTACTGAACACCTTCGTACTTATTAGAGATCCCAGCCCAATTGAATGAGAGAAAGATTAGAAAGGAATTATTTACAGGTGATCAGATCATTTACTTAGAAAGTACAAGACCATCTGGTAAAAAATAGCACTAATGAGAGGTCAGTGACATCTACTTACTAATTAGAAAATGTGGGTAAAGATCTCATTCACAGTAGCAACTATGAAAAACCTGAAAATATATATGAATAACTCAAATATATCTAAGAAGTTTCTAATTATTCAAAAATATTTCTAAGAAGATGGCCAAGCACGGTGGCTCACGCCTATAATCCTAGCACTCTGGGAGGCCGAGGCCGGCGGATCACTCGAGGTCAGGAGTTCGAAACCAGCCTGAGCAAGAGTGAGACCCCCATCTCTACCATAAAGAGAAAGAAATTAATTGGCCAACAAATATATATAGAAAAAATTAGCCGGGCATGGTGGCACATGTCAAAGCTAAGATTAATGTGGTGCTTGGGAAAGTAAGAAATGCCAATATTAAAAATTATAACTTCTGGCTAGGCGTGGTGGCTCACGCCTGTAATCCTAGCACTCTGGGAGGCCAAGGTGGGCGGACTGACTGCTCGAGGTCAGGAGTTCAAAACCAACCTGAGCAAGAGCGAGACCCTGTCTCTACTATAAATAGAAAGAAATTAATTGGACAACTAATATATATAGAAAGAAAATTAGCCAGGCATGGTGGCACACGCCTGTAGTCCCAGCTACCCAGGAGGCTGAGGCAGGAGGATTGCTTGAGCCCAGGAGTTTAAGGTTGCTGTGAGCTAGGCTGATGCCACGGCACTCACTCTAGCCCGGGCAACAGAGTGAGACTCTGTCTCAAAAAAACCCAAAAATTTCTAAGAAGACATAGGTTAGGAAAGCCCTACAGCTTTATAAAGGGAAACTGAAAACCTGGCCTTTAAGCCTGATCTGGCTGGACACCTCCACCCCAAAGCCTCTGGCCCTGGCCTGCACTCTCTGCCCTATGCCTGCCTGCCAAACTGCCCACCTCCTCAGGTGACCAGCGTACACCCTGCAGCCTTCACGGGGTCAGTACCGGCCACTCTGGCCAGGTTCGCCCTTGCACGGCACCCCCATCGCTGCGCACCTACGGGTTCCCGTCCTGGGGCGTGTGAGCTGCCCTGGGGCTGGTGGGGTTTTCGCTCGGGCCGGTTAGAAAACAAGTCTGGGGAGGGCCCCCCCGCAGGGCTAAGCCTGGTTTTGGTGTGCCCGCCAGGAGCTCATACCCCGAGCTTGCCTCGCGGGAAACGGGGGTCCCCTGGGCCAACGTTCCTCCCGCCTTGGCTCTGGGGAACTTGGAAGGGTCGGGCTTCGCTCCGGAGACCACAGCACCTAGAAGAAGTCCACTCGAAGACATGCCCGGGTCGCTCCTGGGGTTATCCCCTCGACAGCCGCTTGGGGACAGCGGGTTTCAGGGCCTGGCTCAGAGGGCATCCTGGGCGGGGCCTTGAAGGACGCGTAAGAGTTCAGTGAACCCCTTTAGGGAGAAAGGAAGCATGCTTCTGCGAGCCGCAGGCCTGGGAGGCCCGGGATATCTGGTGTCACGTTTCCATTCCGGGGTGGGGGCCTCCCCCGGGGCGTCCTGCCTCTGACGCAGCACGCTACCGTGCGATTGTCCGAGGCTCCCAGCACCCGTAAGCCGCGGTCCGGACAACCCCAGGACTGGAGGGAGAGGTGGCAGGGGAGGAGGCGGACGGCGGCCAGCGCGCTCGGCGTGCCGTGGCCCCGCCCCTCGAGCCACGCTCACGCAGGCCCGGGCCCCGCCCCGCGCGCCGGCGCTCTGCACAGCTTTGCTTTCAACTCCCGTGGTCACCTTCGCCCCGCCCCTTCTCCGTCCGGTCACCAATCAGAACTCGGTGTCGCGCTCCCAGGGCGTGGACCAGGGAAGCCCCGCCCCGGCACCCCGCAGGCCAATCGGCGGTGCGTCCGCGGGGTTGGGGCGGGTCCGGGGCAGGGCGCGCGGCGCCGGGAGCGCCAGGGGCAGTCGGGAGCGGGCGGTGCCGGCGTGAGGCGGACGCGGCTGCTGGCTGCGGAGCAGGCCGGGCGAGGCCGGTGAGGACGCGGCGGGCGGCGGCCGGGGTGCGCGGAGCTGGGCTGGGCCTCGCCGGGTGGGCGGTGAAACCAGAGGCCTGAGGCCAGGGCTGGGCGGGCGCGGAGGCCGCGGTCCACCGAGAAAGTCCGCGTCCGGCCTCTGAAGGCCTTCGTGAGGCGGCGGCCGCTCCTGGACTGGTCCGCGTTAGAGGAGCGCCCGTCTGTGGGGAGCTGGCCCCGTGGAGGCCGGCGGGGCGGAGAGTGTCCTGCGTAGGTGCCTGGGGCGGGCCGGGGAGTGTCCCACGTGGGCACGCGGGGCGGGCCGGAGAGTGTCCTGCGTGGGTACCCCGGGTGGGCCGTGGAGGCCGGCGGGGCGGGCCGGAGAGTGTCCCGCGTGGGGTGGAGTGTCCCGCGTGGGCACCCGGGGAGTCGGGGAGTGTCCCGCGTGGGCACCCAGGGCGGGCCGGAGAGTGTCCCGCGTGGGCACCCGGGGCGGGGCGGGGAGTGTCCCGCGTGGGCGCCCGGGGCGGGCCGGAGAGTGTCCCGCGTGGGCACCCGGGGCGGGCCGGGGAGTCGGGGAGTGTCCCGCGTGGGCACCCAGGGCGGGCCGGAGAGTGTCCCGCGTGGGCGCCCGGGGCGGGCCGGAGAGTGTCCCGCGTGGGCGCCCGGGGTGGGCCGTGGAGGCCGCGTGGCGTGGGCATGGGGGTGCCCAGT